TAAATCTATTCAGGAATCATCATCAGTTATTATAAAAATCATCTGTAGAAAATCTGCCCAACAGAGAGAGTAGAACCTATGGAGAAATAGTATTTTACTATAGGCAGTAAGGATCTATTCATGCTCAACTGCATTATGCCAGGCATATGAGACGGTCACAGGAAGGCAATATAGCAACAATAAGCTGTCTTAAGGCAAAAATCCCTTAAGGCTTTCTTTGCCTAAACCAGGGATACACCCATTTGTTAGCTAGCTGTGCAAAAATGAGTGGGCTGCCTCCAGAAAGCTCACTTGCTTGTTTTTGCCAATCCAGCAAGCAATTTGCTCCTAGCAGAGGCGAGGAATAACTAAAGACCTGGTAGAGTTTTACAGGTGGTTGGGGATCTGGGTTCTCAGCCTCTTATTCAAGAGATTGAAATAAAGCCTCACATATATTTTATTTTTTTTTAAAGCAAGCTATAGAATGGGCCAGAACACACTGAAAAAGAGCAACAGGCCACAAGAGTGAAGATAGTCAAAAGCCTCAATTACTGTTTGGGACTCTCTTTTTTAGGGTTCAAGAGAAGATGGAGTTTGGTTACTAAGGGCTGCACTGAAGATGTTTCTCTATTATGATTGATATATTAGGTCATATAATAATTTTTTTAGTGTGTATGTCCCTTCCTATAGTGCATCTTTTTTTTAATTATATACACACAAAATTATGCATAGGCACTGAATAATAAATAGATTCTCTCTATAAATACACCTAATATAGTTTTGCCTTACTGCATATGCAATCAAAACTAATTCAGGCTGGACCAGCCTATTCATGCTTCATAACTTAGTACACTGGGCACATATTTGAATAGAAACTACGTAAGTTTGCTTGTTGTTAAAGAAGGAGACACCTGTTCTGTTGTTTATAGAGAAGTGTACATGTAGCCTGAGGCAGGTAGTGGTCCACGGTTGCCAGATGCATTGTTCAGAGAGAGTGTGGGTGCACAGTATGTGTGTGTCAAAGGAGTTGGGCTGCCAAGTTTACTAGTAGAAGAAGGGGGTGGGGCTGGAGAGATGGCTCAGTGGCTAAGAGCAGAAAATACTCTTGCAGAGGACCCGGCTGCAGTTCCCAACACCCACGTGTTACAATCACCTATAACTCCAGTTCCAGGAGACCCACAGGCCTCTTCAGACATCCCAAGTGTACTTATGGGGGAAAAACATTCATACACATAAAACAAAATAGATATATCTTCAACAAGAAGGAGAAGGATGAAGAGAAATTGTGCATAATCCAATCCAGGTAGAGCTCCAGGTTGTTAAACTATTTCTTTTGCTTGCCTGCACACACAATCACACAATCCCCATGCCTGGGGACCTCGAAAGAAAGACTACATGAGTTGTCATCTCAGGAGTGTGGCTCAGGACCTGCCATTTTTAGAATGTTCTTTTGATGAAGAGAATTTGTAGCCAGAAATGATAGCCACTGAACTCCTTCTAAATCAGGAGGTAAGACATTGAAGCCATCTTTTTGTTACGTGTAGAGTTTGCCACTTTCAACAATCCAAGAATAATTTCCAGGGAATTTTACAATCCAGAGATCTCACTTTCAGGTATTCATCCAAAAGAAATGAAATCACCTATCTCTACATATCTGGATTTTATACTCTAATCTTGTGTGCACTACCATATTGTTCACACACACACACACAAATGTGAGGGAGGCAGAGACATGTGGACCTACCAGAGCATGCCAGCAGAAACACGTCGGCTAATGCCGGCAGAGTCAAACAGTTCCTGAGTGGGGAGTGAGGACTGAAAGAAAATACTACATGCAAGATCAATTCCAGAGGGCTGCCAGTAGAAACTGTCATGCCTGGTTTATTCTAAAATTCCTTTTTATCGTCAGAGCAAAGCACCTCAATACAATGAAGGGGTTTATGGAGAAGTCAAACTTGTTTACCTTGACCACCTGACTGTGTGATCCTCACACAAACAAAAGGAAGTGAACTTGGCAAAACATCCTGCCTATCCCTGTCTCCAGGTAAAGGCCAGGTGAAAACATGGTTTTGTTTTTTTGTTTTTTTGCTGAGAACTCAATAACAAAGCAGACCGACAAACAAGCAGCTCTCCACATGGACCAGTTTTCCTGTCTGCTGACATAGATTGTTTTATAGCTTCTACTTCACAGTTTCAGTTGCATTTCTTGAGCTCTGATCTTCAGACTGCTTTTCTCTCGTCTTTTTTGTTTGTTTTTGTTTTTGTTTTTCTTTCCCCAGAAGCTTCTGGCTTCAAGTTTATTTTCTTAGGGACTGAGCTCCATTTCTAGGTTTCCTTCCTGGATTATTTCCCCCTCTTTCAGGACCCTTTTATTCTCACCAGTAACTTTGAGAGCAGAAAAGTATTTTTCAGGACCGGCTTTCCGTGAAGTTTGGCAGCTGGTGTCCTCCTGCTTCTGCTTTCTGAGTGCTGGGATTACAGATGTGTGCCACCATGCCTGGCTTCACGGATTTCTTCCTCTGTTATTTACAGTTGGTCATCAGTCCCTCCAGCTACTGTTTTGTTGTTGTTTCTGTTTTTGTTTTTTCATATTTTTCCACCTGAAATTTTCTACTTGGAACAACTAGATCATCTGCTTTGGTCTGTGTGACAATTCCAATGTCTCAGTTATCTTGGGATTGACAAAACTTGTCCTTTTCATTGAGAATGGTCAGACTTTCATATGTATGGCGTATGATTTTGAACCACGTCTTGGACACTGTGACTATAATACTGTATGGCCTTTGGGTCTTGTTACAATCATTTGGAGGATTGTTTTAGCAAGTAACCAACCACGTTTGATTCAGACGATAAGCTCATTCTTGATTTCCTGTAAGTGGTAGTGACAATCCCACTTTGATTTTCCAAGCCTTTTTACATTTGTTTGTATCTGTCCTATTCATGAACCTGAGACTTGAGGGTTCAAGCACAGAATTAAGGAGAGTTCCTTGTATTTAAAAAAGAAGATTCTTCTTCTTCTTCTTTTTTTTTTTTTTTTTAACGTGTATGGATGTTTAGACTACATGAATGTCTATTCACCACATGTGTGACTATTTGGATGCCTGAAACTGAAGTTACAGATGGGTGTGAGCTGCCATGTGGGTGCTGGGAATTGAACCTAGGTTCTCTGGAAGACTGACAGTGCTCTTAATCACTGAACCATCTCTCCAGCCCCTCCCAATCTACTCTTAATTTAAAGATTCTCACAACTGTGTCTTTATATATTTTGTAGAGAGACTTTCTTGGCTGTAGTAAATAGGAGGTTTGGACAGTAGTTGGCTTCTGGGGTGTGGTGGAACTGGACTCTGCCTGGCTTTTTAGTTACATTTTGGCATCCTCTAGAAAAGCTCCATTCGCTCAGTGTTAGGGTCTCAACCTGTGTAAACAGCGTATCAACCTCATCTTTAATCTCTGGCATAATTTTCAAGGGATAAAATAAAATGGGCATCAGGCACTAGTAACTTGTCAATAAACATTAATGGTTATTTCTCCATATTTTTTATAAAACTGCACACTTTAGACTAAGATCATTGAGGTAAAAATTAAGGCAGGAAACTTACATGTTTTAATATGTTAGCTGCTTGCAAACTACTGAATGAACAAAATGAATGGTATTTAATATTTTGTTAAATGTTTTTGAGGTAATATAATTACACCATTCCCCCTTCCCTTTCCTATATATGTGTGTGTGCACACACATATACTTGCATATATGTATACATATATATACATATGTATACATATATATACATATGTATACATATATATGTGTGTGTATGTATATCTAATATGTGGAGGCCTCTGTGACTCCCACAGCCAGCAGAATAACAATCTAGGGAGGCAAAAGACAGTTCAACATGACTAAGTAGCAGGGGTTGGTTCAAATTTAGGGAATGACAATTTAACGCAATTAACGCAATTCTATGTGCACTACAAAGCATAAGACATGGCTACATTGAAGCTCTTTGTAAAGTAAAAGTGACATCTTCCATATGGATTCTATACATTGATTGAGACAATAAAGCTCTAGATAAGGCTCTGGGGAGAATTTGGTATGGCCTAGGCCATACAATGAGCACAAGGGTCACCAGGAATTAAATATGTCAACTCCCAGCCTTCTGAACAGAAAACAGATTATATGTCTCTCCCTTTGAAGAGACAACCCTGTGTGTTTAACAATCCTGGTTCCCTTAGTGCTTATTTGTGAGCAAAAGAACTTATCTACCTTCTACAGTGATATTTTCTGTATTCCTAAATAGAACCTGCTCAGTCCATTCAATGTTACTTTAGGTATATGTTTTCAGGGCTGACCACTTGGTAATAGACAACCAATAGGTGTGCTCCTGCTTGGGGAAGATTATTTTTCCCGCTCAGATTTCGTTACTTGTCTGTAGTTATTTGTCTAGGATTGAGACCTGCTAGACTTTCCTCTTCCATGTTAGCATGCCTGTGGTGTTGTCCTTGTTCAGATGTTTAGGCAGCCATGGTGGTGAGAATTCATAGCTGTGTGTAGTTTCTGACATTTCTATGAGAGACAATCTCACAGTGAATTTCCTGTTCCTCTGGCTCTTACCATCTTTCTACCCCATCTTCCCCAGTGATCCTTGAGCCTTAGGTGAAGGAGTTGTCTTGCAGGCGTATCAGCCGGGACTGTGCTCCACAACACTGCATTTTGTCAGTTGTGGTTTTCTGTTTCGACTAAAAACAGTATTTTAAAAAGCAAATTACTGCATGACAAATTTGTAGGCTTCAAATAGGTCTTCCAAGGCCTTGTCAAGTTAGAAGTTAGGCAGCTGATAAATGCCTCACCAAACATCACACTAAAGAACAAGGAATGTGAAGTCCATAAGGACCGTCACCTATCCAATGAAATGACCCACTGCCCTCTGCTTGCTTCTTGAGTAAATAGTGTAGGTGTGTATTGGGGGAGGGGTGGCAATGAATATTCTCACATGTTTTCCTCCCTTTTCCTCTCTTGCCAGCTGGGCAAAAAAGACCCTGCGACCCACAGAGAACCTTAAGACGGTGAGTCAAAAACTGGCAGAGTTTGGCCCAATTGTCTCCATCACTCCATGTGGACGAAAAAGCGCCTTTGTGGTGTACAAAGATACAACCTCAGCTTGCAAGGCCATGAATGCTTTCAAGACTGCAGGCACAGTGTTCCACTGCTCGTGGCAGCACCAATTCATGTCAAAAGCGGTAAGACTTTCTCTTGCCAAAAAATAACTGAATTTTAAAATAATTGAAAAAAAATTGAAATTGTAATTACATAATTTCCCCTCCCTTTCCTCTCTCCAACCCCTGCACTGCTTCCCATCTCTCAATTCATGACCTCTTTTTATTTCATTGTTCTTACACACACACTGCATATATTTATAATGCATGTGTATGTTACATATAATCTGAGCATATACTATATTATATATTTATTATATGTTATATGATGTGTATAGAGAGAATGTGTGTATGTGTGAGTAAATGCATAAAAACAACCTTCTCAGTCTGTAGAATGTTACTCATATGTGTGTATGGTATCAGGGCTGACCAGCTGATACTGGATGACCCATGGGCAGGGAAGACCATTCCTCCCACTGTCAACAATTCCCAGTTGTCTGTAGCTCTGTATGCTTTTCCCCTTCCATCTTAGCATGCCTGTTGGTGCTCACATCTTGTTTAGACAGCCATGTTGATGAGACTTCATGGGCGTAGCTTCTGTGACATTTCTAGAAGCCACAGTCTCAGAAAACTTCCTTTCCCTTTTGCTTTCCACAAACTCTTCACCTCCTCTTTTGTAATTACCCCCAAGCTTTAGATACAGGAATTGTTTTATGGATTCATCACTTCAGCAGTAGGGGCTCACCAATTTGGTACCACATGACCTCTTGTTTTTTTGCATTTTGACCAGTTGTGGTTTTCTGTGATGGTGTCTGTCTGTTTCAAAGAGAACTTTCTTTGGCGAGGCATGAGAGGTGCACGTCTCTGTGAGTTTAAGGGTCAATATTTAGAATGTACTTAGGAGTTACACTAGTTAGTAAGATGGCTGTAGGTTCACCTCTAAGATCCATGACTACCCTGGGTAGGTGGCTATGTTTCTAGTACCAATCATGGTTTTTTGTTTTGTTTTGTTTTGTTTGTTTTTCTTGTTGAGTGTGCCCTAAGCCCAATTAGAGAGCTGTTGATTACTGTCAAGGGATGAGTACAACTATCTGCTCTTAGTGTAACTGTGCCATGCTAGTCATTGTTATGGTTCATAGGCATCATAGTAGGAATATTGTTTGCTCCTCTCCCTTGGAAGCTTTCATGGCACCTTCTGGTCCCATGAAAGCTGGTCCTCAGAGAGGCAATTTTTAGATCATATGGAGCTTGGGTTCTCTGGGCCCTGTATCTGGAGTTCATCGTGTCCTCAGCAATAGGGGCTTACCCTTCCCTTCAGGGGACAAGCAAGGGCAACAGCAACAGTATATAATATTTTGCAAGTCTCTTGGACAACTCAAAAGGAGGTTTCTTATGTTTGCTTTTGGGGGTGGTTTATTAAATTGTTTATGGCTCTTTGGAGAAGCATGCATTGTCAGCTCACATGGAAAAAATTCCATTTGAAATATATAGGTGTGCCTATACTAACATGTATTGTAGGTGTTTTTAGGTAGAGAGATAATAGTATGATTCCTTATGGCTTTTCATATATCTTTACTGTTATTTTACCCTCCTTTCTTCTTCTTCTTCAGTATCCATCTTCCACCCTTCCGTAGTTAGAGCCCTCCTTTTTTCCATTTCTCCATTCAAATCATTTGTACCCTTTTATGATCCTATTGTTTTCCTAGAGGTATCTTTTCACTTTCATGGTTTCTATAGTTATTCTAGGCTATATACTCAGATCTTAAGAGTTGGAGCTATGAGCCACAGATTAAGGAGAACATGTGATAGTTGTCTTTTTAGATCTGGGTAACCTCGCTAAATGACTTTTCTAGTTCCATTAATTTGTCTGCGAAGTTCATCATTTCATTTTTTCTTTATGGCTGAATAGCATTCCATAGTATGTTTATATCATGTTTTAATTATCCACTGTTAGTTGAAGGACTTTTAGATTGTTTTGTGGTTTAAATGAGAATGACCCCCAAGGGCTCATTTATGTGGATCTTTCACACCTGGTGGAATTGTTTTGGAAGGAATGAAAGGTGTGGCCTTGTTAGAGGATGGACTTTGAGATTTCAAAAGGCCATGCCAGTGCTTCTCTCTCTGTGTGTCTCTGTGTTTCTCTGTGTCTCTCTTTCTCTCCCTCCATCCCTCTCTCTAACTTGCAGATCAGGATATAAGCTCTTATCTACTGCTCCAGTGTAATGCCTGTCTATCTATTGTCATGCTCCATACCATGATGGTCATGAATGCACCCTCTGAAACTGTAAGCAAGCCCCTAATTAAATATTTTCTTTTAAAAGTTACCTTGGTCATGGTGTCTCTTTGAGCAAAAGAAAACTAAGACAGTTTGTTTCCATTTCCTAGCCACTGTGAATAGAGCAGCAAAGAACATGGCTGAGTATCTGTGGAATAAGATAGCGAGTGCTTTGGGCATATGTTGAGGAGTGGTAAAGCTGAATCATACGGTATATTTATTTTTAGCCTTTTGAAGGATCTCCACATGATTTCCAGAGTGTTTGAAATAGTTTTATGAGGTCTATTTGTCAACTGTTCACCTCAATTCCTGGGCAAATTTGGTCTTATTCAGAAAGCACGTTTCTATTCTTATATCTTGTATTGGACTGCCTCTGTTTTCTTCCAGAAGTTTCAGTGTTTTAGCTTCCACATTTAGGTCTTTGATCTATCTGGAGTTAGTTTTGTGTAAGGTGATATGTATAGGGCTAATTTCATTCTTCTATAATGGAACATCCATCTTTTTTTAGTACCATTTATTGAAGATGCTGTCTTTTTTCCAGGATATATTTTTGGCATCTTTCTCAAATACTAGATGAATATAGTTATGTGTACTCATGTTTGATTTTGTTCCATTGGTCCACATGTACTTTTTGTGCCAGTATCATATTGTTTTCATTACTTTGGCTCTGTCGTATATTTTGAAGTCTGAAACAGTAAGTTCTACAGCATTGCTCTTCTTGCTCAGGCTTATTTTGGAAATACTGGGGTCTTTTGTGGATCCATGTGAATTTTAGAATATTTTTTTCCTATTTCTATGAAGACCTAGATGGGAATTTTGACTGGAACAACATTGACTCTATAAGTGACTTTTGGTAGACTAGTCATTTTTGCAATATTAATTCTACCAATTCATGACCGTAGGCTAGCTTTCCACTTTCTAGTGTTTTACTCTATCTCCTTATTCAGAGATTCAATATTTTCATTGTAGAGGTCTATCACCTCCTGGGTTTGGTTAATCCTAGATAGCCTACATAAGCTAATAAGGCTCATTTTATGAAAGTTTTTATTTGTCATGACTGAGGCGTTCTCACCATAACTGCTATGTTAGTAACAGAAAAGGCACAGAGACGTGTATGCAGTTCAAGCGCTCGAAACTGGAACTTACAAAGCATTCTTCTGTGATGTCTAGCTGCTGTGGTGACCTTCACAGCTTTGCCTTTCTGGACATGAAGTTCATGAGTGCATTTGTGTATTCCTCTGACGTCAGCCTTTCCTGGATTATATTGCACTCTTGAGCATTAACAGCATATAGCTTTTGTTTCTCATTTTTTCTCATTAACTCTTTGGAAATTCTCATCGCCTGATAAAACAAAACCAATAACAACATTGAAAGTTATTCAAACAGGAATGATATCACACTATTCTTTTTTGTTTTGTTTCTGAGGCAAGGTTTCACTATGTGACCTTGGCTGGTCTGCAACATACTATGTAGACAAAGCTGGCCCCAGACTCATAGAGATCCACCTTCTTCTGACTGTTAAGTGTCAGGATTAAAGGTGTACATGACTATTTCTGGCTAATCCTACTTTTTAAATTGTTTACTTGTGTGTATGGGTGTTTTGTCTGCTTGTGTGTCTGTACCATGTACATGTGGTGGCCAGAAGAGAGTCATGGATCTCCTAGGACTGGAGTTACAGATGATTAACCACTACATGGGTGCTATAAATTGAATGTGGGTTTTCTATAAGAGCAGCCAGTGCTCTTGGCTGTGGAGACATTCCTCCCGAGCTCAAGATATACTTTACTATTGGCTTCCTCTGCATTAATGAACTAACCCTATTAAATTACACGTGTAATAGGACACAGTTTCTCAATTGTGACTGGTAGAGATCACTACATTGAGTGTAAGGCAGGCCTGTTACTGCACATTTCTAAAGAGCCCCATATGGATACAAAAGCTTCTGGTTCCAGTATCATACACTCAGCAGCAAGAATATAAGAGCAATCAGCTGCTAGCTGCCACATACGCAAATGGAAGTGCTATAGGGTGAGGATCTCCTAAATATAGTCAGCCTCCTCACCTCCAAATCTGAATTCCAGAGTAAAAGGGACAAGTGTCTATTGGTATCCTTCTGGAGTTATTCTCGTGAAGGATCTCCCCTTTGCCTTTGTAGCACAGAAATGAAATGTCTCTCTGACCAGTTTTTCAAAAATCATAATTATAGTAAGATTATAGAAACTTTCAATACAAAATCCAGACGTTGTGCTTAAAGCCAACTAGAGACACACATGCCTTGTCTTTTTAGGATGTATTCTTTAAGGCACATTTTCCCCTTGGGAAATGTTTTCCATGGTCCCCACAGGTAAAATCCAAATACTAACATTTGGTGGCAGCTTCGCATATGCTCTCAGCCTGGTCCAGACTTCTTCCTCAAAAGTGCTTTCAGGAAAAACTTCAGTGACAAGGCCTTGAGCCCAAGCCTCTCTTGCTGTGAGCTTCTTCCCAAAGAGAAGCATCTCGGATGCCTGCAATGTAAAGCAAGATGTGACCTTAGCTCAATAAACCTTCAGTTGACTTCAGAACAGCCCGCTTTCAGGAGACACAGCAGGACTCAAGGCTCCTGAGGTTGCCTGTCTTTCACAAGAATGGGGAGGCTGATGGCTTCACTGGGCAAGGGTCTGCAAACAGCTGACCCCATAACTGCTTCTGCCTCCTGAGGGACTAGAAGGGCAGCTGCTTCTGCGAGGGTCTGCACTGAAGTGGCAAGAATGGGAAGCCTAGGGCAAAAAATTACCTGAACCCCTAGTAGCTATGGTTTTCTGTTTGCACTGTACATGATAACAAGTTGAGGTAGGCTAGGGGCCGTGCAGAAAAATTATGACCACAGGGTCAACCTTTTGAAATACTGAAAAGTCCCTTGTCTGGTTGTTTGTCCTAGTGTTGAGCTCTGAGCATGTGAATGAAGGGATACAGGGATGGCTCATAGAGTAGTTCTTATAGAAATTAAACTGCAGCCAGCGAGCAACTGTCCTCTCTGCAAGTTCTCTTTTGGAAAAGTGAACACATTCCAGACAATCTAAGTGTGAAGAGCTGCCTCTGCTATCCTTTTCAAAGCTTAACTGATTAATAACTTGGGTTCTATGTCAGCAGCATGGCAAGGTTTAAAGAAGCGTATTTGGGGACTAGAGAGCTGTCTCAGCCACTAATAAGACTGGCTGCTTTTGTACATGATTGAACCCACATGGTGACTCACACCACATGTAATTCTAGTTCCAGGGGATCCAGTATCATTGTCTAGCCTCTGTAGGTAAAGCGCTCATATACATAAATTAAAAATAAATCTTAAAAATTAATGTACAGATATACATTATGCATGTGTTCATGTGGGGAGCATTTCCAACAACAAAATCTAGTTACTACGCCCCTCTCACTGTTCTCTCTCTTTTTTTTAACCTTTCATTTTATTTGCATTTTATGTGCATGCCTGCTTGGCCTGTGACTGGAGTTAGAGACAGTTGTGAAGCACCATGCAGCCTCCCCTACCATACTGAGATGGTGACCAGTGCCTGCTAAGCCCTTCCCTCAGTCCCCCATTGGGGTCCTTGGAGTCACTCCACGTAGGAAAGACAACTAGGTTTGCACAAATACAGAGGTGGATCTGAGCAGCCAGTGAGCCACCTTGGGAGTCTCGATGCACAACAGAACAGCTTGTAAAAGATAGCTGTAAGTGCAAGTCATGGTGACTATGACTTCATGGAGCTGTTCAGAGCTGGTAACTGCTGGCACTCACACAGCCCCAAAGGGAAGATGTCACCACGTCATCTCTGTGATGTTGCTCGTCAGCCCTGAACTGATCACACCTGGAGAGGCTTTCTAGCCCTAGGCCTTCAACCAACACCACACAACCGTGGAGGACAAGGCCTTGTGCTGTCCCCAGTGCTCCAGCTCTAGGCTACCAGCTGTCAGGCTCTGTCTCTGCATCAGGAGGTGCAGAGAGAATGTCCTGACCCTTCTCTTATATTGCCCTTTAGCCTGGTTTCTCCATGTTACAGAGCAAATAATCATCCTGGAAGCTTTGCCCAAGGGAAAGAAGACGGAGTACAGGATTGGCTTGGCAACACATACTACATCTTAAGTTTTTTTCTAAGTTACCTTTGCTGAGCCCATCATTTTTGGAAATGTGTACGAGGAGCATCCTTCTGGGCTCTGGCCGAGGTGGCTGAATGGAGTATGAAATGTTGCCTAGTCGGGATGGGCAAGAAAAGAGCGTTTGAGTTATCATTTTATTTTAGTTTTATAATTTGTGCACGTGTGTGTGTTGCCTATATTCTCACCATCCCTACCTTAGCTTCTCAAGGGATGGAACTATAGATATGTGTTGCTACTCCCATCTCACTGTTCTTTTTTTTTTAACCCTTTATTTTATGTGCATGCCTGCTTTGCCCGCATGTACTTCTGTACACCATATATGTACAGTGACCATGGAGCCCAGAAGAAGGTATCATAACCCTGTGACTGGAGTTAGAGACGGTTGTGAGGCACCATGTGAATGCACAGACTCGAACTCAGTCCTCTAGAAGAGTAGCCAACCGCTCTTTTTTTTTTTTTTTGAATTTTAATTTTTTTAATATTCATCACAGGTTATTTACTTTTAGCCAATGCTCTTATCTGTGGCCGTTCACTGTTGTGAATGGACAAAGATATTTAAACGAATACTATGTGTTATTCTTCCTATACACAGTTCACTTATACTATGTTATCAGTGGATCTGTACAATACATAGACATCACCAACTCCATATGTACTACCCCACAGGTCCCCTATAGCCTCTGTGGGCAATCCTTTCTTCCCACCATCCACATGCATCACTCTCTGTTCTCCATCCCTACTATTTTGACCTTTTCTAGAACATCATGGTCATGCAATCCTACATGCCATACAGCTCTGTTTCTCCCTCTCGTCACTTAGGATAAAGTCTGGGGGTCACCCCTGCACTGCCGCATACTTGCAGCTTCTTTGTTATTGTTGTGTGGTTGTGTCACCATTTTCTGATCTACACGCAGTTTCCAGTGTTGTGGCTATGATCAGTCGGGTCAGTCAAGAGCCATAGACTTGCCTGATATAGTACACACGACTGTCACTTGTCAGTAAAACCTCAGTGAAGCTGAAAAAACAAATCCTTTTCTGATTAGGTCAAAGAAGTAGTTGCGATTATTTGTGTGCAGGTGTCTGGCCGAATGGATACTTAAAATTCTCGTGGGAACTACCTTTGAGTGGAATCCGTGGTTATGAGAAAAGTGTATGTTTATCTTAAATAAGATGCTGACCTCCTCCCCTGAGTGACTGTGCCATTGGTACCCCACACTGAGGTAGGAGAACCCTACCGGCACCATGTCCTTGTTCAACTTCACCAGGAGAAGTCCTGGTGACCTAGTCATGTCACTACATGCATGGTGGTGCCTCATGGTTTCAGTTGGTATGACCCTTATGACTAATGATGTTGGGACTCTCACTGTACACTTAATAAACATGAGTGGAGCATCTTTGCCGAAGAAACTGCTAACATGTTTTCCACTATTTTTAAAGTCAAAATATTTGCCTTCTTAGTTTTGAATTGTAAGAATTCCTTATAGACACAGGTTACAAGTAAGTATCATGTAAAGAATTTTTTCTGGTCTATAGCTTATCTTTCCTTTTAAGTAAAAATAATGTTTTGAGCTGGGCAGGGGTGGCACATGCCTTCAATCCCAGCACTTGGGAGGCAGAGGCAGGTGGATCTTTGTGAGTTAGAGGCCATCTTGGTCTACAGAGTGAGTTCCAGGACAGCCAGGGCAATACAGAGAAACCCTGTCTTGAAAACAGACTGACACAAACAACAACAACAAAAAACAACCCACCACCACCACCAAAACAACCCACCAAGCAAACAAACAAAACAAACAACAACAGCAGCAAAAATGTTTTAGATAAAGGGTCTTGCTGTGCAGCACAGCCTGGCCTCAAACTAAGTTCTCTTGCCTCAGCCTCCAGAAGCATGCTGGGATTACAGGCATGAGCTTTTATCTTCAGATAGCCTTTTTTCTCTGTATGGGGAGGAGCAATAATGAACTTGTTATGTGGCCAAAGACGACCAACTCCTGACCCTCTGTCCTCTTTGCTTTCTTTGTAAGTACCAGGATTACACCCATACACCATTATAGCCAGCATCTACATCCACTTCAAATTCACTGCATACATCTATTTATTTATTTATTTATTTATTTATTTATTTATTTATTTATTTATTTATTTATTTATTTAGTGCATGTGTGCATGCCTTTGCTTGCTCCTTAGAGAAATAAGCTATTTTCAGTGCTCTGTCTCGTGGTTTAAAGAGCTATTATGTTTCATTTATGTGCCACTTCTCTTTTCCCGTTTTTGTACTAGATTCTTGATCTATTGCTTTATAGACATGCTTTAAAATATTTTTGAATGACCAGCTTTTGTTGGTGAATTGATAAACTATTTTCTCAACCTTCCATTTGCCTTGATTTTGCTCTAGAGGTCTTCTGCCTGGCTTTGTATTCCATAGTCATTTTCAATATTGGTGATTTTAGATGATAAGTATGTTCAGGTTTTTTTTTCCATACTTAAGAAGACGTGTGTGTGTGTGTGTGTGTGTGTGTGTGTGTGTGTGTGTGTGTATGTGTGACAGGGTCTTACTCTATAGTTCACTGTCAAGACAGGCTAGCTTCAAACTCATGACAATCTTCCTGCCTCAACTTTCCAAGTGCTAGAATTATAGGTATAAGCCAACACACACATCTGTTTTTTTATTATTATTTTTTATGAATAAGAAACATAAAATACTCTCATTAATATCACTTTTGTTTTCAACCCAGAAATCTTGGTCAAGAAAACATACTACAAGAATGTAATCAGACAACATAGCTTCAAGAATGTAATCAGAAAACTAAGAAAAGCCATAGCTAAGGAGCCACCAACAGGTACACAACAACTTGACAATGAACAATTGGTATAATGTTTATTTCCAGAGATAGAATGGTGGGTGCAGTTAGGGGCTGAGGCTCTAGCAGCAGATTGGTTAAAGATTTTGGGACAACTCCTCATCTCCCTGTGACAGTTTTCTCTATCTGTAAACCTAGTATGACCTCATAGGCTGCTGTGTGCTCTGTGTAAAGTGTCTATATGGAATGTGTATTGGCACACTATGTGTATGCAAACATTCATTTGAAGACATTTAAAATTCACACAAAAAGATACATTTGCTGACAGAGGAGCTATTGGCATTTTTAGCCACAAAACAAATAGATTTGTTTATGAAGTCAATAAAACCCAGGGAATCTCTTCAGTGGTTAACTGGAAAACTTTAGAACCAACTAAGAAGGTACCAGAAGAACCTGAAGGCTACTGGTCAACAATTCTGGGGTCAGTGTCCTAGATTCAAGTGCTAAGAAAACTGTTATCACATCTGGGTTACAATAACAAAACCCAGAAAAAGCTTAGGGCTTTAGCAGTCAGGGACTAGTGAGATTTGCTAAGTTATAGAAACCAAATGCTAGCTGGTTTCCATCCGAGTGATTTTTTTCCCCCCAAATAATAAACTTCACAATGTGTTTTTAAAGGTTAAACAGCATGTTTCTATGAGATACATACAGACAAACAGCCACTTTAGTGGAACCGGTTAACTCACATTGTCCCATTCCAGTCAGGGGAAGCCGTAATATAGCATTCATTTAGCAAACTTTCTGGATATAGTCCACGACTATTGACTATAAGCATCACACTGTACATGAAAGCTTTTGACCCTACGTATCCGCTACATCCCCTTCGGCCACATCACCCCCACCCAAAAAAATGGTTCCCTCCCTCCTTTCTCCCTTTCTTACCTCCCTTCCTCCCTCCCTCCCTCTCCCTTCCCTTTTTCTGATGTTGCTGGGAATCCAACGCAGAGCCTTGCTCACATTAGGTAAATGCTTCACTATTGATCAAAACCCTACTCTCAAGTTTTTTTAAACATATCTTTTTCTTGGTATTTTGTCTATGTTCAAAATATTTTACTTTTGGCCACCACATAGAAACACTGCAGTAAGAATAAAAAATATTAAATGCAATCGTGACCATGAGTCTGAACTGTGTTGAGGGTTCAGAACTGTTTGAGGCTTTAGTTTTCTAATTTGCAATGGAGGGAGAGGAGTGAATGGCCACAGTCCCTTCTCATTTTAAAAGCCTAAATAGTAGGCTTTGTGAACTGGGAAAAGAGGATCAAGCAAACCACACAGCTTTCAATCATCTCCTGAGCATTTTTGAGTAATATGAAAACTAAAAATTGAACACCTATGTACCCTTATGAAAACACAGAACCATCAGAGTTGGGGCAATGTTTACAATAATACAAGTATTTAAGAAAATGCATGATCAGCTGGGAGGTGGTGGTGCAGGCCTTTAATCCCAGCATTCGGGGGGCACAGGCAAGTGGACCTCTGTGAGTTCAAGGTCAGCTTGATCTACAAGAGAGAGTTCGAGGACAGCCAGAGCTGTTACACAGAAAAGCCGTGTCTCAAAAAGCAAAACAAAACAAAACAAAAAGATCAATGAACAATCAAGGACCAACATAATCTGTCAAGTTAAGACTAACTCTTTAAAAATTATCTAAATTACTGCATTCTACCCCTTCTTAGTTTGCTTTCTGCTGCTGTGATAAAACACTGACCAAAAGCAACATGGAGAGAAAGGGATTTATCTGGGATACAGGTTACAATCCATCACTGGCAGAAACCGAGCAGGAACTCAAGAAGCAGCAGAGGCAGGAACCATGGAGGACCAGTGCTCACTGGCTTGCTCCCACAGCTTCTCAGACTGCTTTCTTAACACAACCCAGAGCCACATTTGACAGTCTATAGTGGAGACACTGTCTATAGTGGGCTGGGCCCTCTCACACCAATCATTAATTAATGAAATACCCCATAGACAAGCCCACAGAACAATCTGATGGAGGCAATTGAGTTCCCTCTTTCCAGGTGACTCTAGTTTTTGTCAACTAACCAGCATAACTATTACCACCCATCATATATTTAGTCCTAGCCACTATAAAGGAGACTCACGGGCACTTACTAATTAGCAGGGAGTAGACGTACCCTTTCTGATGCATAGACAGCATCAAATAGTCCCAGAAGGGTTACAGAGATTCCTACGGCTGGGCCATTTACTACTGCAACCAGAGGCTTGGGGAAGTCTATAAAACTGTTCACAAATTCCCTAAAGAAATAGAAATAGGAAAGTATTAAACATCTCAATGTGGTACCATTAACTATAGAAAGAATTACCTACATTAAAGCTGATACCACCCAAATGGATCACTTTCCTAACCAAACCAAGATCTTTGTATATGGGGTCTAATGGAAGGTCAGACCATCGCTCCTACAAGCTGAGCCTGATTCACTGTTTTCTGGGCAGTGAGTTCAGGAAGTGGGCCACCTGTGTGACCTGAGAGATGATGGTGGGGACTGAGAGTGTGACCCCGTATTACAGCACAGGGGACTCAGAGACTCAGCAGAACTGGGAAGTTGAAGCCTCAAACCTCCTTCATCACCTCCCAAGACTACTCCCGGTGTACTGCTAGCATTCATAGGCACTGTCTATTGACCCCATGCACGAGAACGCACACTCCCTCTGCTTCCTTCTCTCCTCACACTTTCCAGTCAATCTCCTGTAGAGGGCAGGATGAAGAGGGGATCTGATGAGAATTCTCACAGTTAAGAGTACCAGCACAGACAAGTGGACGTTTTACTGACATGTTAAGAATGAACCCTCTTGGGGGGCTGAGGAGAGGACTCATCCTTTAAAACATCTGCCAATCAAGTACAAGGACTACAGTGAAGTTTGGATCCCCAGAACCTGCATAAACTCTGTGGGTGTGGAGGCCTGCTTGTAATTCTGACCTCAGAAGGTGGAGATGGGAACTAGGGCAAGCTGGCTGGCATGACTAGCCATATGAGTGAGCTCTGGGTTGGAGAGAACGGGTCTCAATAAATAAGCGTGGAAAAAAAAACAATCAATCAAAGATATTGATTGTGATATCTACCTAGGATTCTACACCCATATACATATACACATCCCCAAACACCTGGGTATTCACACATGCAAAACATTTGTACATACAGTTCCACCATAAATACATGTGGGAAAATGGAAAGAGAACGAACCCCTTGGGATCAGACCAATATCACTCTTACCTCAGTAATGTAGCACACTTTTTCGCTACGTCTTGTATTTCACCGCCATCATTCATGAAGTTCGTCAGGTCATTGCCGCTGCTGTAGTAGTCACCAGACCCTGTGAACAGTACAGTCAACAGAGCCATGATTCCTTCCTGTATCCACTCATTCTAGAGCTGTTATGTATCTGCTGTGTGCAGAGGGCTCTGAGCCAGGCCCTAGGAGAACACTGGTGAATCTCATTTACACACTGGGGACTAGCAAGACATGGGTGTTAAAGAACATAAGTAAATGAAGATGGTGCAAGAACAACATGACAGATAGAAACAGGGATGGTCTATGTTGGTGAGCTCACACAGGAAAGGAAAGCTGGACTGAGATCTGAAGGACAGGCAAGGCTGTCAGAGAGACAACGATGCAAACGTGGTTCTGTGACTGAGGTGTGCAGGGTCTTTGTGACAGACTGAAACACAGGCCTCCAGGATGGAAGCAGGGAAAGAACTGGATGCAGGGCGGTTGCTGTAGGGAAGAGGAATAGACAGACAGTGTGGGACTGCCTAGATCGCAGTAAGGAACATTGTCTCTCTGTTATGAGCTGCTGGAGGTGCGTGTGGATCAAAGTATAGTTTGTCTACAATGAAATGGCTACTTCTTAATGAGTTTTATTTTGAGACAGGGTCTCAATTAGCCAGGTTGACCCCAACCTCCCCATGTAGCTGAGGATGACCCTAAGTTGAGGATGCTGATTTCCTGCCTCCACCAGTATTGAAGTTCTGTGTCGCCATTCCCATGCTGGGTATCAAACCCAGGGCTTCATGCATGATAGGCAATCGCTCTCTCTCTCTCTCTCTCTCGCTACTTCTCTATCATCCTTAAAAATTTTTGGTAACTATGAAAACTGGAGTGATCCTAGGTGAAAAGAAGACATAGTGGTTCCCTTTATCCTCAGGGGACGAATTCCAAGATGGCCCTCAAATCCCTGAAACATGAGCGTCGTACCAGGCTCTACAGTGGGCATTGTGTTTTTCCCTTTCCAGGCTGATCCCTCATGTTTTTAGGTCTTATATCTATGGATTCAGCCAATGAAAATATCTGAGGACAAAAAAAAAAAAAAAAAAAAAGTCATCTGTACTGAATATTCGCAGACTTTTTTCCTTGTGACTGTTCATTTCTAAACAATGTAATGAATACTGACAGGGCATCGCTGTGTTGGGCATTGTAAGACACCCAGGGCGAACTTACAAGGATCTGGAATGTGTGGGCTGTCTATGCAAATACCACATGATTTTACACAGGGGACAGCAATGTATACTGATGAGAGTCATGGAACTAGTGCCCAGAGGATGCTGACAGAGACTGTACACACATCCTGTGACAGTGTGTAGGTTAGGTAAGATATTTACAATAACAGGCTTTTAAAAATGACAATATACTATGTGAGTTACCTAAAACATACTGTTAGTTTTCTAGAAACTTTGCTTCTTTCTTGACCAAGGGTGATGAAATTTTGGGAGTCAAAACCATAGAAAGGAGCATTCAGTTAAGAAGGGGCTACTGTGCTGACACCTCAGAATGTTCCAGATGTTGTTTCTAGCCCTGCCGTTCCAGCTGCCTCGATGAAGTTACTTTCAGACTCCATCAACAGATTAGAACTTCTATTCAGTACTGTAGAACTCACACGAGTTGAAACAAACAGCATGTACTTTTATTTTACTGATTTTGCTGAACCATCTTTTCAAGACTCATCTGTGTGTTTGTGTGTATCGAGCTTTGTTTTCTTCTCATTGCTGAGCAGAATCTATGGATGGACAAAGGCTATCTAGTCACGCATTTCTGGACAGCTGAGTTGTTTTCTTCCCTGACTCTTGTGACAGACACAATAAATTTTACTTAATCGGGACATACAATTAAATATGAATAAGTATCAAAGAGAAGTTATCTTAGATTCATGATATTATGGTGCATTTACAAATTAGACCATTGTACAGTGGGGAAAAAACCCTCAAGAATTAACCCTCTAACACTCAGTTCTTTGCATAGTAAGAGACTTCCTGAAGTAGAAATTGACTAAGTCTGAGCAAGTGCCTTACCTGTGAGAACAGTTATGGCTGAGCTATCCGTGCTGGCATTTTTAAGTGCAAGCATAATTTCGTGATACATCTATGTGAATGAAAAGGCAGATAAAAGAACAATGAAAACGAGATCCACTGGACTGGGCCACTGTATCAGTCTGAAAGCCTCCTGTCATCACAGTGCTAAATGGCCTACAGAGATTGTGCTTAGATATTAAAAAAAATAAAATAAAATAAAATAAAATAAAATAAAATAAAATAAAATAAAATAAAATAAAATAAAATAAAATAAAATAAAAAAGGCTGCCTGAGAGGATCTCGGTTCCTCTGACAACTCCTGGGCACACATGATGGACAGGTGTTGTGGCAGATGTACCGACCAACCATTTCGCTCCAAAACTGAACAAGAGAGAACTCAGTCCTTTAGCTTTGTGGATGGACAGCTCCAACAGGGATGGAATGAGGAAAGAGCATGGGGCAACAGTCTGCCAGAACTGAGGTTGTCCATAGCAGACGAGAGGGAAGGTGGCTGAGAAAACTGTCCCTAGAACTGCATCTCAGCTGTGGCTTCGAGGAAGTGAAGTAACAATCTGGGAAGTCACAGTTAATGCCAGAGGCTGGATTCCTGAGGTACCGCTGTTCTGGGAAACAAGGGCATTGCCTTCTGCGCATTTCTGAAAATCTTGCTGTAGTTTTCAAAACTGGTATAGATTTTACTTTACTAAGACTCAACGTGGGAAAGAGTGTTGAGGAGGGTTGGTGTAAACACTGGAAAAGTAAAGGTATATGAATAATGTTGGGGCTGTTTCCCTCAAGGCAAGGGATGGGAAATAATTCCTGAAAATTACAATAAAGGAGACACAGCATCCAAGGTGACTGGCTAGAACAAAGGCCAGGAAAGAGATGGATCAATTTAGATTCTCCTGCTGTAGGAAGTTGGCAAGTTACTTCTTTATCTGCTGAGCTATTTTGTTAAATAATGGTGATAAGGCCCTTGCAAAAACACATAAACCTCTGTGCAAGAAGTCCTGATTCTTCAGTGTGTAGCTGTAAGTATCCAGAAGTGTCTCAGGGCAAACAGACAGAAAATTCTCAGAATTAAGTGCCTTATCAATTTGAAGGCACACGAGCTACCTGACAAGATTCTTAAGGTTAGCATGCTGTTGCATACTGTAGATGGATGCCTTTATTCCCAGTTCACTTCTAAGCATCTAATAAACTCCCTGTAATATCAAGGAGGAGGGGCTTAAGTGATTAACTTATTGTCAGCATAGTTCAAGGGGAAAGTCAGAATCATCCCCTGAAACATTCATTTAAACAGGGCTACTATCGCTCTATCCAGACAAACTCCTCTCTCCTCCTCACCCTCCCTACTTCCCCATCCTTCTTCTTTTGCAAAATTATCTCCCCCCACTTCCCTTTCTTGTACAAAATTAGGGTACACAAGCATAGAAAAGCTCAAAGGCAGTGACTTGAAGACACTTTGGGGAGGTTTATGCTCTCCTTAGGGGGTCTCTGTGCATCTCCTATTAATGCATTTTCACTTAGACTGATTTAACTGACTTGTGCTTCCATTCATAGCAAAGCTTCATTGCCTTCTGGATATGTAGAACCTACTGGAAACTCACAAGTTGTAAATAATGACCAAGTCTGCTGAATGAAACCAAATGCTCTAATCTTTGTCAAGAACAGAAACAATGCTGAAATTCTACAGTTGCATGAGTAAAAGAAATAGAAGAAAAGAGAAATGTGTCCACACAGTAATATCACCTGGAAGCTTATGGCGTTCTTTTTGATGGGCCGGTTGAACATGATCTTCGTGATGCCATCTTCAAATGTTACCACAATGTCCTTAGACTCCTGGACTTTCTCATCGGCTCCACACTTTCCCTGGCTAGAGGCTTCAGATGAGGGACTTAAATTGTACACTTGATCCATGTAGTCCTGTCTGGCAGTTTTCTGAAGAATAGATGACAAACCCCTTCAGCCTTTATAATAAGCAGTTTGAAAAACATACTATGCTAATAAACACCACTATGCAGTAAAGAACAGAGGCTTTGATTCAATAGAGCGACATCCCAACTTCAGCGGCAGTGGGAGAGGTGAGCCTTATGTGTCATTCTAGCCATGGGGAGGCTGAGCCAAGATTGTGAGTACAAGGCCAATCTTGGCCATAACAAGGAGAAAAAGAACTTCGAAAAAAACCTGTAAAGGCTCCATTGACAACCATTCACTGAGAAACCAAGCCTATTGTCCTCTAGTCAATAACATCAAATAAATTTACATTAACGATATCCAACAAATAATAACATTAAATAAATGTACCTTCCACGCATTGGCTTCATTGACGAAATCAAACACACCTGGCTTAGGCATCTTACAGGGTCCTTCTGTGGCCTGAAAAGAGCACAAGGGCGATTAATATTCAAGAGAAAGCCTTTGGGAGAGCAGCTCTAAAAACCTACGAATTCAATAGTTTTGAATTTGTGATTACAGCTTTCACAGGAAGTGAAAATGCTGAGTCCCTTTTAAAAAGCCAAGAGACATTTGGAAGTCCACACTATATTCTAATGCCCCATCGATGGGGACAGAACCAGAAATTTAGCGTTAAACTCCTGCTAACTGCTCAAAAGGGCTGTAGCCGCTGCAGGTAGGGATGGTGTCTTACAGTTCCTGGTCCTAAGGAAGTTTATCTGAGGGCCATGGCAAAAAGACAAGTAATTTTGTGTGAGGTTGGCGGAGGTAGATCAGTAAAATACCCCACTCAGCTACTTTGCAGAAGTGATTTTTAAACAATTTAAAATTTTGTTTTTGTTTTACTTTGTTTGTTTGTTTGTTTTTCAAGATAGAGTTTCTCTGTGTATCCTTGGCTGCCCCGGAACTCATTCTGTAGACCAGGATAAATTCAAACTCACAGAGATCTGCCTGCCTTTGCCTTCCGAGCACTGGGATTAAAGGCATGTGCCATCACTGCCTGGCTCAAATGTTGTAATAGGGTTAGTTTATAGAGGACAGAGGAGGCTTTGAAAACCACAGCCGTGGAGGCTTTTACGTCACACAAATTCACCCTAGAATGGCGGGTGATCTGGGACATTACAGGAAACCAGCTTCACTGAGCTGTCCCTCCCTTCTAGCTGCTTTCTGACACTAACTGCAAGGCTTAAGAGTGCTGGGGGAGGAGGCCCTCAAGATCACCTCATTTCAATAGTCCACTGGGAATGCTCATGGCAGCCCTGCAAACTGTGGTATTCATGGTTATAGATCCTCCCAGGGAAAGGATACAGAATAAAAGCTCACAGGATAGAGTAGAGGATAAAAGGATACAGGGCAAAAGCTCACAAGATAGAGTCAGAAGAGATGCCAGTGTGACACTTCTATTGTCCTCCCGCCAAGAGTTAGGAAAGGGAATGCCCCAGACTGAAGGGTACGTGATAGTGTACATAGCTTCTTGCCAACAAAGAAGCTCCTTTGGGGTCTAGTGTCCACTTTTTGCCAGTACTCTAACATACAGGCAGACCTGCCTAACCTAAGGACACCCTGTACCTGGAATCCAGTGCTAGACTCTCCAGGCAAACAAAGCTACATGCCAAGCATGGCAGGTCACAGGGTTAAAGAATACCTCCCAGCAGCTGAGGGCACAGTCTTTTCAGACAATTAAAATTCTTGACTGTACACATTCGAGATAAATAGATATTCAGGCCAATCATCTAGTAGAAAATTAAAGGGTAACGCAGGAGTTTAGAATAGCAAATACACCAAGGACAGCTTTACCATTACAACTGAAAAGCTTTCTCAATATCATTGTAACAGTTGCCAAACACTCACAAAAAAAGGCCGTTACAATAAGCAATTAATCCAGCTGAGCACTTTATTAATAATTTAATAAATTAATTAAAATTTATAACATGTACTTTACTTATTTTCTTTCTTTTGTGCTTACTACAAGGAATCCAAAACATCCCACACACCACTCCGCTTCAGCCTTGAATACTTACCATGCATTTCTCAAAGTACCAACCTTTTATTCTGTAGCCAGTGGCACCATTAACAATAACCTCAACTCCACTAAATAATAGTTGCTAAAACTCAGTCCATATTCAGATTTCCCCAGTTGTCCCAAAATATCTTTTCTGTGGCTTTCTTCTAATCAGAGGAGAATCAAGCAAGGACCAATCACCTGACTGTTATATTTATCGCATCTCTTTATGAGAGAAACTCAGGGATACCCTGTGCTTTAACAGTATCCCATGGCCTAACCCTAATCCAAAGCCTGCATAAATGCACTCGATAGCGGGTCAGCCATGCAACCCAAACTTTCAAGCTGCTGTAGATGAGTGTTTTTTTCCTGTATGTACCTATACCAGGGGCATGCCTTGTGAACACAGAGGTCTGAAACTGGGGTCAGAGACTGTGTGCAGGGATGTGAGTGCTGAGAACCAAACCTGGATCCTCTTAGAAGGTCAGCAAGTGCTCTTACCTGCTGAGCCCTCTCTCCAGTCCACTGAAAATGTTTTTTAATACAATGTCAGATCTCAGGCGTACATAACTCATACAGTGCATAGAGTTTTAGCTTCACGACGTTTCCTGGGTTCTTTGTTTGTTTTGAGACAGGGTTTCTCTGTGTAGCCTTGGCTGTCCTGGACTCGCTTTGTTGGCCAGGCTGGCTGGACCTCACAGAGATCCCCCACGTCTGCGTCCTTGCCTGCCTCTGTGTCTCTTTGTGCTGGGATTACAGGCATGCGCCACCATGCCCGCTTGGGTCCTCTGTCTTGAGTCTCACTCGGTTCATTGCATTTTCAAAGTCCTGCTGACTGGCTCTCATGGTTGGTCTGTCCAGGTGCACCTGAGCCACTGGAAACCTAACGAGCTGCTGGAGACTGAAAACAGTGCTTCTGTTTGTTCCTAGCCCTTCATTTCTGCAGCAGGATTGATGATTTGTCTGCAACCCTACAGAACAAAATGTCATGCTTATCTATACTTTCTCTCTGCTGTCTCAACAAGCTAGCTTCAAAATGATTCCTAAATAAAATCTGTCTACAGATATTTTTTTCTCATAAGTAAATAAATAAATAAATAAAAACCTACATTTCATTTGAATCTGACAAGGGCCATATTCCAAGGAGAAAAGAAAGGAAGTTTTAAAAATGTCCTGCCAAGGCTCCTGTAAGCAACTTCCAACAGAGTGTGGTGCAAACTTATTAAAATGAAGTGTAGGTTTTGCCTTTCAGCCCCTTCTCTTAACATGGCGAACCAATTGCTTGAACCCACACGGATGATAACGGATTACGCATCTATTGCGCTCAGCTGACTCAATGAATAGGTGTCTGGACAAAATGTCACCTTAGCCAAGGCACTGCGCGCCTTAGGAAGTTCCGGGCTGGGGCTACAGACCCGGACTCCGCGGAAGACGAGAACTCGCTGCGGGTCCAGGCAGGCTTGCCGGGCTGCCTGAGCACATCCATCCTTACCCTTTGGGACTCAGAGGAGGAAGGACACTCAAGGCCACTCGCTGGGAAACCACCAAAGGAAAATCCTGCTGTCCTGCTAGCTAGACCGGATGACAGAGCGGGCGGCTCCGCGCATGGGCGACAAACCCCGCTGGCGACTTTGGGCCGGACAGCCGAGGCTGCAGCCTTACCTGGGACACCAGCACCGCGCCACTCTTCTGGTCGCAGATGCTAAAGCCGGCGTTGAAGGCGGACTGAACCCCGACGCTTACGAAAGGGTGGAATCTGTAGGAGGAACTGGCAGGGGCGCATCCAGAGTCCTGGCTGTGGGCAGAACCAAGGACTCCAGGAAAAGACGAAGGCGGAGCCAGTAAGTGAGGCCTGGGCATAGGTGGGACTGGGGGCGTGGTCTGAGTTGGGCATGGGCGGATTGCTGGGATGGTACTTGACCAAGTGAAGATGCAGGACTGAGAGAGCGAGGCAAGGCACTTTGCTCTGTCCGCAGAGGACCGGGCGCTTTGGGCAGGGAAGGACCTATGGGTGCAGAGTCCAGTGGCCCAGCTCTGGAAACTGGGTTCAGAGAACAGGGCTCAGGGGATTAGATGCAGAGGGTGGAGTTCTGGACTTTGGGGCAGAAGGCAGGGAACCAGGTTCTGGGCATAGAGAGGAGAGCGCTGGGGGTAGAGGTTGCTGGGGTCAGGGGACAGTGGGCAGGGCCGAACTGGCCACAGGGCACTGGGTTCTAGGAGGGGGCACTGTGTGGAATATGAAGGCTCTAGCTCGGTTCAGTGCTGGAGGAGAGCTGCGTGTGGAGGCTGCCAGAGGAAGGATTCTGACATTGCTCCATCAAATGTGAAAGCTAGAATTTGAAAGAAGCCTGAATCCTCTCTGTCTTACAGATGGCTCCTCTCTGTGGATCTACTGTCCTTTCACAGCTGCTTCTTGGCTTCATTCCTCCCTTCCCCGCAGCTTCCCTCGTTTGTTCAGTCTTTCTTCAGACCTCACTGTTTCTATATTGCTGTTCCTCGACCAGCGCTGACTGGGTTTGCTCTAATTCCCATCTCTCCAGTCCGTTTTCTTCCTGTTCTGACTGACCTCCCTACGTTGTAAACCTGACTGTTGTGGTTTAAACCCCCAGAGTTCACGTTTGAAAGACATCTCCCCATTGTGGAAGGGGTATTTTGACTCTTGTTGGCTTTTCTACCTCGGCTAGTTCCCAAATAAGCCAGACAGAGACCTCTTGGATTTATAAAAGCTTTAAGGCACAATCACTGGACAGGTATCAACCCTCTAAGCTATTTTGATATTTCCGAGCTACCCACCCCAAGTTACTTGCCATAATAGTTCCTGCCTGGGCTGCTTCTGTTCCAGTTGGTCCTCAGTGCAAACTTCCCTTAGCCAAGTGCTCATGGCCCACACTATCTGGTAGAAAAACACTGTTATTATTTATTAAAAAGCCTGAGGCTGGTGTCAACCGATATTCTCTGCACGAAGTTTATTAGGAGGGAGGGGGGAGCAGAACATGGGAGGAGGGAGAAAGAGAGAGAGAGAGAGAGAGAGAGAAAGTAAGAGAGGAGAGGAAGAGAAGAGGGAGTAAAAGTGTAAGAGAGAGACCACCTGTCGGGGTTGGCCCTTTCAGGGGCAAGGTAACCATGCCTTCCAGGTGTGGCCATCTAGCTGGCAACAGGCATGGCCATCTGGCTGGCGACACATGATGACATCATAGGTTTCTGGGTAACACAGGAGCAGGTTGTGTTCCAAAATACTAACACTTATACTAACCATGGCAACTCCCTCCTCTCCGGATTCCTCTTCTCCTGCTACATCTTCTCCTTCCTCTCTCCCCTCCTTCTGTGGCCTTAAGGTCCTTCTCAGACTTCAAGCCTGGGAAAGAACGTAAGCTCTACTTTCCTCTCTTCTACCCAGTCATGGGATTCAGAAACTTTATTAAGCAACTAATTTTAAATTAGGTAGAGCAAGGTTTACACAACAAAGATCACTGTATGTAAAAATGTGCTTCTCTGGGCAGCAACCAGATCTTGGGGGGCTAGTAATTAGCATTATAATACATAGCACCAGACCAACCCCCAACATCTCCCAGTTCCTGTGCTGATGGCATTTGGATGTAAGGACCTTGAACAAAGATTAAGGTTAGACATTAACATGCAGTGAAGGCCCTGGCCAGTTGCCAGAACCTTGACAATTAGACTTCCCAGCTTCCAGAATGCTGAACTGGCTTCTGTTTATCCAGTTGGTGGCTTTGGTTGTAGAAACCAAACGGACCAGGATGCTGACATGACTCACAATGTTCTCTTGATCCTCCCTCTGTCACTGGAATTTGTGTGGGTCCCTTTGCTATTAAGTAAACCAAAGTTCTTAGTGTAACACATAAGGCCTTTGAGATTTGGCTCGTAATGTCTGCCGTCTCTCGTGCTTGCTCTTTCCATTTCATTTATTCACTCATTCATTTATTCATCTTGTTAGTTTTTTTTTTTTTTTTTGAGAGAGTCTCACTACATATCCCAGCCTGGTTTCAAAGATGTGGTGATCCTCCTGCCTCTGCCTCTTGAGTTCTAGAATTACAGGTTTACACAACATGGCTTTTAGCACTTTGTTTTTTATTTTAAAACATTTGTTTTGAGGCAAAAAAAAAAATCTTGCAATAAATGCTACCCTTGACCTTGTGTTGATTTTCCTGTCTCAGCCTTTCAAGTGCTCAGATTACAGGTACACACCCCTGCCTGTTCTTTTCATTTAGGAATGGGTCTCCGCAGCCCATGCTTTCTTGGTCCAGATACGGTTTTACGTGGGAAAGCACAAAACCCTAAATAGCAATTCCTCGTTGCATATAATCCAGCACCTGGGAGGTAGAGGGAGGAGGATCAGAAGTTCAAAGCCATCCTCAGCTAAAAGGAGCTAAAAATGGAATCCCTTCATCCATTCTCTTCTCCTACTGCAATCCTACTCCCCAGAGCTGGTCTATATCTTAGGACAGATGTCCCTAAGTTTATTTCAGACTAGCATTTGTTCAGCCCTCGCCTGCCCTGTTATTAAGCACCATTTCCCATTCCTGGACACCCTGCTTGACAAGAAACACTGTAGATGTTTGTTGTATGTAAGTGAACTATTGAAAGTTTCTGTCTAGCCTTTGTGTTTCTACATGTGATGACAACTTTGGGGTCAGTTGCCACCTTTTCTGTAGGCAGTCATGTTAGTATTTATTTTAAAGTGATTCCACACACACACAACAGATATTATATGAAAGAGATTTATTGGATGGAGGTGGAGAGACAGAGAGGAAAAGGAGAGAGAGATATGGTGGCTGTCCCCCAGGAAAGAAAGCAAGGCAGAGAGAGCAAGAGAAGAGAGTAAGAAAGAGAGGAAGGTAAGAGATATGCAAAGTGGCTGGTTGGTCCTTTTGTAGCTTGTGCATGCGCAGCTGAACCGTCCCTGCCACACACCTGGTGGGCAACACATGATGACATCATAGGTTACTAGGCAACCCAGAAGCAGGCTGACTATACACTAACAAGTGGAAGGTGTTAACTGGAATGACTCTATGCTTATAGGTATTTCCTTCACTGTGGGTCACAGTTCTAGCAAAGGAATTGGACTTTTGCCAGGCTCTATACCAAAAACACTAGGGAAAGTGGTATCAAGGAAACTGTGATGTTCACCTGCCTTTGCAGGGGGAGGGGCCTATTATGACTGTATTAGTCACAAAGATTTCTTTGTGCTCTTCTCCCTGCTTCAGTTTCATGATGCTGCTTAAGATGAATTAAACCTATGTAACTGCAACAGAACAGATTGGATTTATGCTTCTAGCTCTCTTTCCACCCTTTGTCTTTTCTTTCCTCTTTTTGTTGTTTTGAGACAGGGCCTGATAGAGTTCAGGCATATTTCAAACTCTTGTTTCAGCTGAGGATGACTTTGAACTTCTGATCCCCCTTCCTCCACCTCGCAAGTGCTGGATTTTATGCAACAAGGGGTTCCAATCTAGGGTTTCATGCTCCATGGGCAAGCATTCTACAACCCAAACCACATCCCCACGTACCCCTCCCACTTTTTTTCTTATTCTTATTATGTAGCCCAGGATGACCCGAAAGTCATTGTCCTGCCTTGGATTCATCAGAGCTAAAACTGAAGGTGTACACTAGGCCAAACCTCCTCTCTTTTCCTCTTCTCTCCTCCCTTCTTCTCTCCTCTTCCCCTTCTCCTCCTCTCTCCCTTGCCCTCCTCTCTTTCCCCTTTTCTCCTCTCCTACCTTCCTTCAACTCCAGGTCTTACCATCTAGCTCGTGTTGAGCTCTAAATAAGGATTGTGCAGGCTTTCTGGCAATATACATGTATGAAATATGCTTTTCTTTGGCCTTATCTTTTAAAAAAATCTGCCCCGTCCACAGGGTGTTCTAAAGTCTAAAGGCATCACTCTGTAATGATCCCCATCCTTCCTCATCTCATATGGATTCAGCTTGCAAACAAATAAAGATGTCTTTAACACTAGTCCACAGAGGTCAAGAACTAATTGATTTTGAAGGAGAAAGAGAAGGAAGGAGGAGGAGGAGAAGGAGGAGGAGGAGGAGGAGGAGGAGGAGGAGGAGGAGGAGGAGAAGAAGAAGAAGAAGAAGAAGAAGAAGAAGAAGAAGAAGAAGAAGAAGAAGAAGAAGAAGAAGA